CCTTTCTCCCCTCCCCCCCCCTGCCTGCCAGCCTTCGTCCCCTGCTCCACGCTGCCTGCCTGCCTTCGTCCCCTGCTCCACTATGCCCGCCTTCATCCCCTGCTCCACGCTGCCTGTCTTCGTCCCCTGCTCCACGCTGCCTGCCTTCGTCTCTTGCTCCACGCTGACTGCCAGCCTTCGTCCTCTGCTCCACGCTGCCCGCCTTCATCCCCTGCTCCACGCTGCCTGTCTTCGTCCCCTGCTCCACGCTGCCTGCCTTCGTCCCTTGCTCCACACTGCCTGCCTTCGTCTCTTTCTCCACGCTGCCTGCCAGCCTTCGCCCCCTGCTCCACGCTGCCTGCCTTCACTCGCCGCTCCCCGCTCCCTGTCTCTCCCCCCCCCCTGGCTGCCTGCCTTCGTCCCCTGCTCCACGCTGCCTGCCCTCATTCCCTGCTCCACGCTGCCTGCCTGCCTTCGTCCCCTGCTCCACTCTGCCTGCCTTCATCCCCTGCTCCACTCTGCCCGCCTTCATCCCCTGCTCCACGCTGCCTGTCTTCGTCCCCTGCTCCACGCTGCCTGCCTTCGTCTCTTGCTCCACGCTGACTGCCAGCCTTCGTCCCCTGCTCCATCCCCTGCTCCACACTGCCTGCCTTCATCCCCTGCTCCACACTGCCTGCCTTCATCCCCTGCTCCACACTGCCTGCCTTCATCCCCTGCTCCACACTGCCTGCCTTCATCCCCTGCTCCACACTGCCTGCCTTCATCCCCTGCTCAAAGCCGCCTGCCTTCGTCCCCTGCTCCACGCTGCCTGCCTGTCCTGTCCAGAACCTGCTCTACCTCTGTTTCTTCCAGAACCTGCTCTGCCTCTGTCCCCTCTCTCCTCCCAGTAACCTGACCTCCTATGTCAACAATAAACATCTATTGTGTTCCACTCTCAATGTGTGTGTGTGAGTACATTGTGTCCCCCTGCCTTGCCTGGTTTTAACAGTTACAAATCTCGTTATCTGTACATATATCGTTGTTTACATATCTATAGAGGAGAAATTCACATTAGTTAATGCTGTTGTGGTTCGTTGTGCTGTCCACTTGTGACACAGCACTGGCAGCATTTAGTTTTGTGCGTTCACGAACTATCCTCTCATTTTAAGGAAGAGGCTTTTTGGTTTCATTATTATGAAAAAAAATTGTAGACTATTTGGAGTTATGAAGGGTGCCAAGATAATCTAGAGGTACCCAAAATTAAACATTAAATGGCTGGAAACAAGCATGCCATGGGAACTTTAAAGGACTGTGTTGCAGATCAGTATGTATTTGCAAAACATACCTACAAATGGCATCAGTGTGGATTATTTAATTTTTGTTATTTTAACACACTTTCTTCAGTCTCTTGTTTCCAAAACAGATTTTTGGATTGTGATGCAAGAAAGAAAAGCTAGTTAAATGCTATGATTTTCTGCTACTTTTGGTCACATTTTTAGTTTATATTTTATGCCATGCCTACACTAGGATCTGCTAGAGAAAGCAGTAGTATGTCTCCATCTCTCTCTCTCTTTTTTATTATCAAATTTATAAGATAACTTCCAAATCTGGCAGCTGGTTGCGTCTATTTGCATATTACAAGCAATTGCCACTTGCATAATGTGTGGGGAGTGCCTAAAGTACAGAATAACCTACACTGTCAATATACCCACTCAATGAGTCACTGAACACAGAGACATTTTGTCTTACACAACCAGTACTTGGTGGAAAATAATAACCATCAAAAAAGAGCTATGAATCCCTGTTATACTGGCATATATCCCTCTCACAACATGTTTATTGTAATTCACATGCTCCCTTCTAAACACACATATACAGTACCGCATTTGGGGAAACGTTTGTAAAATTAGAATAGACGTAAACGCTGTTTTACTCTGAGAAGTCATCTTCAAAATCATAGACGATCTCTGTCAATGGAGGCTCGTACTGTCGCATAGCAACCATGTTCAACAAACTAAAAAAGAGTACAAACTGCACCGACGTTAACGCTAACGCTAACCAGCGAGCTAAACAGTTGTATATGTATATGGGAAACCAACCAGAAAACGCAATTGAAAATGGTGAAACAGACGATACAAATATTTGCTCGCCTTAAACCCACTAAAAAACCTACTGCGGTAAGTGGGTAACTGAAACTCAACACAGAAACACCACTCACGGAATAATAAATTTAATGTTAGCTAGGTAGGATATTTAACTACGACAGCTAATGTTGGCGTTGCCTACAAAGTATGCGAATTTTGTCATATTTGTTAATTATCCAATTTTATAGCTGACATGTTATCACAATATAACATGTTTTAACCATATATTTAAAAACACGCACACACACAACTATCTAGACATACTGTAATACTGGTTGTGTTTACATTTTCTACATATAACTTTCACTGCAAACATTTCGGACTCTCACAGCAGGAAAAGCCAAGGTGTCAGAATCAGAATCTTTATTGGCCAAGCATGATTAGACACACAAGGAATTTGACTCCAGTACAGAGGCTCTCAATGTACTTTATAAGGCAACAGTAAATAATAATAATAAAACTTTGTGTATTCCAATAGGAAAATGTGCAGTCAATAGGAGAAACAATGGAAGCAATAGGGGGACAAATAGGAGAAAGAGTAGGTGAAAAAGATACATGATCTATTTATAAATATATATACACATTAGGCAGAAAAGAATCAGAATCAGAATCTGCTTTATTGGCCAGGTGTGTTGGACACATGAGGAATTTGACTCTGGTACATCGGCTCTCAATGTGCAAACAGTAACCAGCATAAGGCTGTGTAATATAACAAAAATAAGCAGTATTAACAGCAACAAACAGTGCAAACAGTGCAGAATAAGCAGTATGAACTGACAGTAAACAATGCAGACAACAAAGGAATGTTCTTTGAAATGAAATAATTAGGGATAAAAACAGAGTACTTAAAACAGAGTACTAGAGACCTATACAAGTCTGTATAATCTGTACAATGTATATATATACAGGTATTGCACTGAGGTTTATTGTCCAATCATATGGTCATTGGTTAAGTGTTCATCAGAGTGACGGCCCAGGGGAAGAAACTGCCTGGTTGTCTTGGTGCACAGTGACCTGTAACGCCGTCCAGAGGGGAGGAGTTTAAACAGATTGTATCCAGGGTGTGAGGGGTCAGCAGTGATCCTCTCCGCCCTCCTTTTGACCTGTGAGGTGTACAGGTCCTCCATGGAGGGCAGGCTCACACCAATGATCTTTTCTGCAGTCCTGACTGTTCGCTGAAATCTGTACTTGTCCTGTTTGGTTGCTGAGCCAAACCAGACAGTGATGGAGGTGCAGAGAACAGACTCGATGATTCCTCTGTAGAACTGTATCAGCAGCTCCTGGGGCAGTTGAGCGTGTTTAGCTCCAGGTTGTTGTGGCTACACCACAGGACCAGCTGCTCAACCTCCCGTCTGTAGGCTGACTCATCACTATCTTGGATGAGACCAATGACCAATATCATCAGTCTATCCGTCACTATTTATAGCCCAAACAATTAAGCTGAGAGGACCTTCATTAGCCTGCTGCTATTCAGCGGGACCCCGAGTCGCCTTGCCAGCCAGCCAAACAGGTGTTCCTTAATAATCACTGCTGAATTGCCAGCAACAGTGGTTTGTGATTTTCCCTCCATATGTTTCAAGCTGTTAGCAGTCCTCTACTGAGAAATGAATGACTTTCTAAGTCTCATTACAATATCTTACAGTACTTACAGGTGGCTGTTGGCTGGCAATCTGACCCCAGTACAAGACAAACTGGTAATATTTGTGACTTTCAGCCCTACAAAGGTTATTGCTATGGCTGGTAATATTATGATCAAAATGTAAAGTTAATGTAATGCCTGTGGCTCCACTGCAGCTACTGTTACTCTTAGAAAATTCTCTGTGCTTGCTAAAAGTGCAGGGGGTCCAGTGGCTCTAACAATGATAATGACTCCCTTCTGTTAAGTATCCAAATAAATCAATCAAGTGAAATGAAATTACAACAGGCTACAGTACCAGGGCCCCAGAACTAGTGCACCTGAATGGAATGCAAACTTATTAGTTTATGTTTTCAATTATCTGTGCTGTTTTTGCTGTGACATGTCAAAATATCTATTATCTAAATATCTATCTATAGTTGTTGTTGTTGTCATAGCAAGTGACCTAAAAATCACAAACACAGTAAGATGGCCACACTATCTGTTTGTTTATTTATTTATTTATACAAATTTTTGTGTTGAAGATTCTAACAGCTAGTAGCCCTACTGTATTTTGCGCTGATGTTCAGTACAGTATGTTTTATACTGTATGTATATGACTTCTTTGTATGTAAAACTACACTAAGTTTACATTGTTTCACCATTTAGTATTAATTCTGGTAGAACACAGTGGCCTTTTTTAGGTCATAATGGGATAGTAAAGTTGCTGTATTAGAATCAGTTCCCATTGACAACGAAATGCAGTCTTGTTAGTGCACTCTTTAATGTGTTAGTCATTAAGGGAAAACATACTGAGCCACTAGCAGATTTGTAATTCTGGGGTGGTAATGTCTAACTGTGGTAAACATATATCAGCCAATTCTACTAGTGGTTATCTTGCAATGAAGTACACACGTGCATACCCATTTTCACCTGCCAGCAGATAAGGCTTGTCTTTATTGCACACATGTAAAAAAGAAAATCAGTTTCTTCAGAAAGACCCCTGATAGAGAACTTTTTCTCCCTAAGGCTCAGTTTATTGTCTGAGCACAGCAACAGATGGAAGGAATAATCACATTGCTTTGAGGTTTTTCTGAGGCACTGTAGCTTAAACTGACAATATCCAGCAGAATGAAATGGACACGGCCAACTCCTTGGGGCTTTTTATGGTTCTGCACATGTCCATATTGAAGACACCAGATCAGTGTAGGTAAATGAAACAACCCAATTAGTTAGGGCTTTATCTTTTATTTGTGAGACCCTGGGACTTGTAATTGTATCAGTGTCTACTGGAAGCACCCAGTATGTCAGAACCCATGTTAAAGCTCATTGTGTGTGCGTGTGTGTGTGTGTGCATGTGTTGGGGGGTGGGGTGGGGGGTTTGGACTGACCTAGCCAATGCACAATCTGTAGTTTTCCTTGTCTCCCAAAAGGTATGGCTTTGGCTTTGACGAGCAGAGGTGAATTTGCAGTGCCAGTGTTTACCTAAGCTCATCTTGATTTGTGACTCACTTCTATTACTTTCCACAAGACATATGCTTCATTAACTCCATCTGAAAGTCATTTCTGGGGCTTGCAATACCCAAACCATTAATGGCCAATCTTATATTTTAGACCTAACATGATATATTGTTTTTGTGCTTAAACAGAGCAGAATGTATGGTGCCACATACCAGCATATAAATCATACAGTATGTAGCAGACTGCCCTTTCAATAACATTACTGTAGATGAATGCATATGTGGCTACTCTTAAATGCTTCCCAAATTAGGCCTTTTAGTAAATTAGCTCTGTAGATCATCATTTTAAAATAAAAAGTAGCCTGTAGCCTTGTTCAACCATGGGGCTGACTCTACTGTTGTCTCTGGCTCCGTCAGGTGTACTCTGTGGACAGTGAGGAGCAGACAGGTGCTTCTCTGGAGTTTGTGGTCCCCAGGGACCTGGCTGATGGCTTTGTTAACAACAAGAGGGAGTGCTACCAGTTCAGGTAGAGTGTCTGACAGCAGCATTTCTAAACATTTTCATTTGCTTTTTTACCCAAATCAGCCAGCTAATTTGTTCCAGGTAAATTCAGCTAGTGGGGTCTTTGATGTCCAATATAATAATTTACATATCTACAAACGGACTATACATCTCTCTAGCATTTACACTGTAGGTTGAAGCATTTATATTTACTGTTCTAAAGACTTCAGAAGGGGTTCCTCTTATAAAAGCAGAGCAGCTTGTTTGTAGAGAAAGAGATTAATAGGAAATAAAACTGTATATAGTCTACATGTAGCCTTTGTAATACAGTATTATTAGCCACAGTCATAAGTGATTGCAGAACGTATAAAAATGGCAATCACTTTTGTTATACTAAAATTGGGATGAACACAGCTTTTGATTTCACTTATGCTTAAGCAAAAATCTGCAAGTGTGGTGTAACTAAAAAAAAAAAGTTATCATGAATGAAGATCCATAGAGCAAGGTGTGTTGCCCTCCACAATTTGAGCTCTGTGTTGCATAGGAAATTTCACATGAATAATTCATCCACTATTTTTGTCAGTGCTGAGGCAGAAACATCTGCTTAACACCGGTGGTGAAAGCTGCAGCCTTATATACCCTCTGGGCAGGGCCCATGCCACGCTTCCGAGCCCTAAATTCACAGTTAGGGAGTCAGACAGCAGTGGACACTGAGAGTCTTTGAAAACCACATAGAGTCCTATAATAGCATGTGGAGGTTCCCTTGTGCCATTATAGAAATAAAATGTCCAGATTTAACAGTCTTCCTGGGCGGATTCCTCTCACATCTCTCATCTTACTGTGGGCTAAAACATGATGGTTTGAAGCTGCCTTAGAAAACAGAATGACTAAACTCCTCTTCATCCACTTAGGAATTTAAATAGACTGCTTTTTGTGCTTCTTCAATACTGTTGTGGGTACATGTGTTGAGCCTTGGATGTTTGAGAGCAACATACATTTTTACTGTACTGTAGGTTATGGGATTAAATTAAGTAATAGATCTATGTTCTGACTTGTGCTGTTCTGCCAGATGTGCCATTAATTCACTGTCTTTGTTCTGTTCACTTTTGCCCAGGTTCCAGAAAGTGTTTGATCAATCAGTCAAACAAGAAGAGATATTTGAAAACATTGCCAAACCAGTTGCAGACAGGTAAATCTTACTTTTCAGTGACAATAAATGTTTCTTTTAATGACACGTAATTGTGAATGTTTAAATAATTTTTAAAACCTTTTGTCAACCTTTAAAAAGGCAAACTAATTATCCCAATGACAAATCACAGATGTCAAGAGGTGTCAATGACCACCTGTTGCCACACAGGCTTTAGCCAGCCTTGTTAGCAGGACATCAGCAAAGTTCAGCTGTCTTTAAGATGGAAAGATGGGGTGTCATGGTTTTTAGCATGTTTTACATCATTAAACCAGTAAGTGCACTGAGCTGGCAGGCATGATGGCACAACGTGCCATTGTGAGTGTGAGAACACAACACAGGGCTATTGACAATCTGTGAAAAGGATGTGCATGGCCTCTTTCAGAAGTGAAAGATCAGGAAACTTCATCGTTTAATTAGTCATGTACAAGGGCCACATTCATGAAATGGACCTGCCTCAGATCAACAGAACAATTCATGAATATTATTCAATATAAGGGAGATAAGGGGTTCACTGGGCCTGTTTTATGTCAAATCTTAAATATATTTTAAATACTGATACATACACTGATTTGTTAAGTACAGGTGCACAATAAGAGTCCTCATTTATTATCAAAATAATAGACTAGACTAGACAACATTCAGTTTTAGTTAGTGCTTCCAGCTTGGTTTTGATAAAGTTACCAGTTTCTGGTTGATGACTGGCTATGATCGAAATAAACTGATTCTTCTGTTAATATTTTCAACTGACAACAATGTGACTATCAAAGGTTTCACAGTTAAGATTTTAAAGATTGCTTTGTAAAAATTGTGAGAGCTAAGATGATATTGTTATAAATTACAAATGCACTTTGAAAAAGTAGACAAGGGGAAGCTTTACAGTTGGATATGAGCAGAAACATTAATGGCATGCATCTCTACAAGATTAATATACAGTAGATGATTCTCATCTAGCTTAAAAAAAAACAAATATACTTACTACAGATCCTATACCAGCATAAAATAAACACAACATATTTCATTTCATTTTCCACCTCTCAATTAACAGAAGTGTGCTTTAATGATGAAATTCAGTCTCTTGCTTCTTTACATCTCTTACTGTGCCTGACAGTTCTTTAGACTTAGTCTAAATCAGGACGGACTTACAGCCAACAAAGGAGAGAATTGACTTGGAATTTCCTGTGATCACATGTTGATTGTGTTGTTGCTCTAGGAATGTCTCTTCCTCTTCATTAAACTCTTTCCTTGTGGCTCAGTTTAGCCCTACCATCTCCTCAATATTCCACCCCAGTCTTCTCTTACAATAAGAGCTATTTGTGGAATCCCACAGGTGCCTTGCATTATCTTTCCCATTAGGAGACATATAAACAACCTGATGGAATGTCTGGATTGGCTGACTAAGGACCTGAACGTATCTGACCTGACTTACACAGGTTCACTATTAGGCTGCCCTCCTCAGCCAACCTTTTAACACTTCCTTCTTTTTTGTTGCAGATGGTAAACATAAGGTTAAAAGGTTTCAGTCAAACCAGGCTATGCCTTGCCATATCAAGTTTGGCGTTTTTTAATCTTTGATATGACAAGTATATCTGTAGCCTAGAGGTCACTATTCATCCCGCGTAGCCATGACCAATCTGTCTGCCCAATCAGTCAGCAACTGTCAGTTTTGTGTCCAGTTGGAAGGATGCTTGTTTACACACTGAATGTTCTGAATTCTACAAAGTTCTAATCTTTCAAATCCACTCTCACCACAGTGGCTAAAACACAGGTTCAATACCAAGTCATTGTACTAATAACTATGAAGCCTATGTTGATCCTGACCTGACCACTGTTACAGAAGCACATCTGGACACCGATGTCACTAATGCTATGCTCAGACTACATGCTGAAGTGACTCAAATCCATTTTTTTTTCTCCAGGTGACTCAGACCTGAACTTTTCACAGATGTTTGAGCAAACTAAATTGGATCTTTTCAAATCAGATCTGGACCACTTCCATATGTGGTCCTAGATCTGATTCTTATCTGATCTGGGACCATGCAACCACTGTCAGAATGGTCTGATCAGAATTTATGTTGTTTTTAAAGCCACCAGCTTCTGCCCATGTGCCTATTGTCATCATTCTGTGTCGGCCCCTCACAGATGATTAAAAATAAATATAAAGGAGAGCAACAATAGCGACAGAGGTGAGTGGAGAGACGAGGACATTTTACTTTTGTTTGAACACTTATGCAGAAGCTTCTCTTTAGCACTAATTGTCTAATTGCTGTTTTGGTTGGTGCTCTGTCATACTTGTCACACTTCAGGTTTAGCCAAAAAGTCTAACTCGTTTACTTGCACACTAGTTATTGTCTCAGCTGTGGTGTAACCAAAACCAGTTATTTCAACAGTCATTTCAACCCCAACACAGTAGTTTTAAAACAAACCAGCCTTAATATCTTCAGGAGAAGAAGAGCCAATGTAATGTTACTGGCCTGGAAATGCAAACCCTCTATCTGCAGTGTAATCCCTCGTAATCACATGGCTGTCGAACCTCAGCCCAAATTCAAAGAAGAATGGGGGTCTGTTCTGGTTTATCCTTAACTGTGTTACCTTCAAAGACTGGACATACTGCTTCTCATAACAAGAACAGGAAGAACAAGGATATTCTGGACGATGCATTGCCAATTTCCAGGAACACTGAGGTGTAAACAGGAACAAGTATTGGGACATGCCCAAGCCTCAGCAGCAGGGCCTCGGCCGCATCATTAGCACTGACATTAAACTAAACACTGAGCTGGTGTCTTTTCCTCCCGCTGTCAATCACTGCCATGACTCATGATAGATTAAATGGATATGCAATGGCCATCCAAGACAGACTAACCAACCACCAGGCCATAGTGTTTTATATAAACTGACATGGACTGTTTTCCCTTATCCTTTTCATGGAGGCCATGGAATTGTACAGCACACAGGAAGAGAAAGCCACACACTGCTCAAATACTGGGTTGGCACTAGAATAAGTGAGAGGCTTATGGTTGTTTATAATTCTTTTTGAAATATATTGTGTCAAGCAGCAAGCACAGTACTTAGCCTCACCTTTCATCCAAGCTCGTGTATCAGAGGCCTTGGTTTATTTCCAAGACTACAGAATAGAACTGTTTTTTAGTGCATATTTACTGTTCCTCTTACATGTACCACCATTTTGAATGTTCAGTTCATTCAAACAGAACTGGATACCACTGGTTTCCATGGCCATGTGTACGTGCAGAAAGGCAGCTCAGTGCCAAACCAAAATTTATCGGGCCCTGCCTAGTTGAGTGGGTTTGGGCCATTTCCTTCACTCATACTTGGAGACATTCCTCCTTCACGGGCAGATGTCTGTCGCCGTAGCCACTCTCCGTGTACTGACATCTTTTCCTGTGGATTTAAAGTGTCAGATTCAATTCACTCAGACCTTTGGTGTCTGCTTACTGTAGGGACGTACTTGACGGTGCCTTGCACTTTTGCAATTCCAGATGATGATGTTATAGGAGGCACATGATGCAAATGAAAAACAATATGGTTACATTTACAGACAAACAGATGCATTCTGCTTTTTGCAAGTCATGATATGTTTATGTCAGTGTGACTGAGAAATAACTTTATTTCCACTTTTGACAAACGGTTATTGGTAGGACCATTGTCACACTGGTGTCAGCCAAGCAAATGCTAAATTAGTCTGTAGTTAAACATCTTTGCCTAAACTATAAACATCAAATAAGGTGCTTTTTTGTGTCTATTCTGTGTGTGTGTGTGTGTGTGTGTATACAGTGTATTGGCTGGCTTTAATGGCACCATATTTGCCTATGGCCAGACGGGCAGTGGGAAGACCTTTACCATCACAGGAGGCGCTGAGCGTTACAGTGATCGAGGCATTATTCCCCGCATCCTTTCCTACCTGTATGAACGATTCAGCCAGGTCAGCACAGTGTGCTTTTCATGATTTTTTTTTCAGTATAACATTTCATTTTAACTGCTGCAGAATTAAAGTTTATACATTTGCTCTTGCCTAATGTCAAAAACACTGAGATTTTAATGTACTCAGTCCAGTTTTACTTACATTACTGTTTTTGCTCCACAGGACAGCAGTATGGTCTATACTACACACATCTCCTACCTGGAGATCTACAACGAAATGGGATATGACCTTCTGGATTCCCGACATGAAGCCTCTAGATTGGAAGACCTACAGTCAGTGTTCTCTCTCTCTCTTTTTATTTATTTATTTATTTTTGTGCTTTTGCTACACAGATGCTGCAGTGCATACAGTGGAGTGTATGTTCCTCTTGAGTGATTAATGCACTTATTTTAAAGCTGAATAGACCACTCTCCACGGGTCTATTATTCTCCTAAATACTTGTGGGTTTAGTCAAGCCTTATTCCTGAGCAGCCATTTGTCAGTGACTGTGTGATGAAATGTGGAGACTGTAGTATTTAGCACCCCGCTATGAACTGCCAGCTAACTTCATGAGACAGCAATAGATGCAGCTGACCTGGTGGCAGACTGTGCCACTGGAGTGAAGAGGAAGTTAGGTCCAAGAGGGTCATGTGAAGAAGTAGTTTTTCATAGCCAGTTAATGCTGCGGGGCTTTTTTTAATGTCCCTCTACCTCTTTTTTCTCTCTCATTGCTTGTTGTCCTTTCTTTGGCTCATCTGTGTGACTGTCTCTCCTTCTCTCCCAACATCCTGTTTCATCCTGCATTTTTTTTCGTTTGTGTTCATCTTTCTTTGTAATTATAAATTCCATCTGTCTGGTGGTTTGTCTGTCTATGTCCTTGTTTAGTGGACAGTTTTTTATACTCAGTACTTATTCATCTCATAGCAGACTGGACTTACAGATGTGACATTGTCTTGGTACATCATTTTGGTGTTTGTCTTATATTTTCTTTTATGAGCTCCATTTAAGTTTTTTCTCTCCTTTCGCAGAGAATCCAGCTCAAGGTTTAGATAACCACAAATAACAGTCTTCTGGAAATAGACAGTGCCTGTCGTTAACCATGCTGTGGCCACACTTGCTGATTTAAGGAGAAGCTGTGGCAGTGACACATTTCCCTCTTTGAATGTTGGCCTGCTTCTTTCTTTCACTGCCCACAGTACCCTTTCTCTTATTTCTGATATTTTTACACTCATTTTTTTCTTCTTTATGTCTCTATCATGTGTTCAGCTTTCCACCCTCTATGGCTAAATGTCTGTAAATTATCTGTAAATACATTCATTATTGATATCATTTTTTATATTTGTGTAAGAATAAAATAATCAAATCCTATTCAAGGTTGGCGGGGCTGTTTGGGAAAATAAACCTGCCAGTACACAGCCTTTAATCACAATAAGATTAATACCGTTTTATCAAACTACCTCAATTACTTGCACATGTTAACAAAATATGCTACATGTGTTCTGTAGTCATTCTGCCCTCTTTTACATCTCAGTACAGAAGCTGTACTGTCACAACTGTGGTGCCATGATGGAAATGATGTGGTGAGATCACAGGAGTCATTTAAACCCATCTGTTCAAGCACACTGTGCTTCACGCAGCCTGACAAGAACCAATCACCTGTTTGTTTTTAAAAGCAAGCCCTGTCTGTTATCAAGATATGAACCTCTGAATAAGTAAAGCAAAAGCGTGTCAAACTGGGCCACAGCCCACAGTGACTTGCAGATGTGGTTTGTTTGGATTTCAAGCTGAACAAGGCCAAGGCAATCAGAGGGAAATAGCCAGCATAACTAATAATTAGTTTTATGTAATTGCTACAGCATTGGATTATTTGGGTTTTGACTGGAATATCCTGCTATGCCATTTTTTTAGTTAATAATCTCAAGTTAATTTCTAATGATGGAAAGCTTTTTCTTTTCCAGAAAAGTAATGATCATGGAGGATCCCGACCAGAACATCCATCTCAGGAACTTGTCACTGCAGCAGACGGCAAACGAAGAGGAGGCTCTGAATTTTCTCTTCCTGGGTGACACCAATCGCATGATTGCAGAAGTAAGAACACAGGCTTCCACAGGGATTCAGCACTACACAAAAGAAATGTAAAATAGGACTTCCACTTTTTAATGCATACTGCAGTGTTTTAGTAAGGATTGTAGACAGTATGCAAAAATACATGCCCACTCCTAGGGTAAGTGGCATAAAACATATTTGTTCATAAATGTAAATGCATTCTATATGGCACCTTCAGACATTTTAAAAATATTATTTTGGTCCCCTGTGGTCCTGTCACCATGTTTTTTTCCCTGTAAATCCAAGATTTCACTCTGTAATCTCTGTTTATGTTGTGGTGGGGTTTTTTCTGCACTCACACACCCGGACTCCCCATGCTGATAAGACGTGGTGGGTCAGCCTGATCTTGGCTTTTTTAATCCTGTTGTTAGTTTATAAGTAAATAAATGACACACAAATGACCTGGATAATCAGGTTTCAATTAGAGACTTTCCAATAGGAATAGACATGGAATCTAAGAATTTCTCTGTAAATCAGAAATGGGCTTTATACTGTAGCTGATATCCTTTCAAATACATTTTGCAGTGTATGAGAAAATGTGTCTGTCAAGTAATATACACCGAACATAGCCCATTACTAAAACAATATTGCATTTGTTTTGTTTTTTTTACCTTGAGGATACACTCCCATTGTCCACTGCTAGAAAGGGGGGTATGTCAGCGGAAACGCATTCTTAGATGTTGCAGCAGGCTGTTGATCAAACAGTGCAAGGCGGTGCACAAATCAGCCGGGAGCATCCAGCACACTCCACCCACACAGAGACTTTTGTGAACTCATGCTCTGTGGGACTTCTCCACAAGATTTCTCTTGAGCCTGAAGCAAACAAAGAACCATCATAGCTGATTTATCAGTGCCAGAATCATCCCAGAAGTCTTTGCTCTTCATACACTTCCAATAAAGTTAGCAGTAATGCTTACTTTCTTCTCTTGCTCCCAGCCATGTGGATACAAGATGACACATTCATTCACGCCACACTCGGCAGACCATGAGGCCACTCACTTTGAGACTTGGCAATCCCCTCTACACTTTTATTGGAGAGGAAATAAAACACATGTTCTCAGCATTCTTCTTAGCCTTCCTTCACCCTCTTCAGGAAACATTTCCTCTCATCTGGTCTTTTCTCAGTGTCCTTGTTTTTTCTCTTTATATGTGGGGATGCAGGGCCTGGACCTCTCCCTCTCTGTCTACATCCTAACTCCCTCCTGAACTCATGGGGGTGAGTAGGGTACACAGCAGGTGGTCCAAATTTTAGCATTTTCATTTGGCAGTCTCTAAATGTTCTGATGTTTGCAGCACTAGATTGCCCCTTTATGCTGATCCACTGCAGCATTGTGTGTGGTCAGCATGTGGTGCATGTAAGATCAACATGTGGTCAGTTTAGAGCACAGGAGAGTAAAGAAATCACTCCAATGAGGGGGATATCAAATATGTGTGCATTAAATACACATCATCAACACAACATCTCAAAACTTACCCAAACTGTCGCTTTGCTGGTGCTCAGTCTTGATAAATGCCTTGGTAAATAGTGCACAATAACACTGAGATAAGAGCCAACAGTCACTGCTCATCTGTGGGCAGGGCCCAGTGTTTTTGAGAACTTTTTAACTGTCATCCATGCTTTTACCAGTTTTCACTGCATGTGCTGTGTATTAACAGTCACTTCTTCTATATCACTTTATTTACTTCTAATACAGTAGGAGTTTTCCAATGGGCAACACATTTTTATTGCTTTCAATGCATGAGCTGCAAATTATTTAAGATTAATATGTATATACAGTATCTCTCAATTACACTGCTTGTGTTGTGGTGATAAACATGCTGGGAGTAAGGTAATGTGTGACTGAACTCATTCTAAGTACAGTACAGGCCACTAAGGTTTTACCAGCATTTATTTGATAATGGCTGGTGTGAGCAATAGGACTGATTGTGAAGCTAAAGAGTTTTTATAACATGGACACTCTGTCCCTAATCTTAAACCTTTATACAAGTCCTATTAGGTACGGTATGTCATCCCTTGCCACTATTACTTTAAGGGATACCCTGTGGTGCACATATGGATGTGTGCAGAGGAAAGAGAGGACAATGTGTGGTTTGTCTCAAAGTATCAGCCCTATGATAGACTGGTGACCTGTCCAGGGTGTACCCCAATGGGTAAAGATAGTGAAAGGTCTGTCATGAGCTTTCATGACTAATAGACAGGTGCTGGTACAGTTATGCCAACAAGTCAGGGTCAGAGCACCTCTTTAGAATGGTTGACCTGGAATGTTTGTCTTGACGTTTTCAAGTGGTGAGACAAAGTGAGTAATGTCCATATTGTAGATCAGGGCCAATTATACAAAAGAAAAAGAATCTAAGCCTTGATCAAAACATAAACCAAATCATAGTGCACTATACCATCAGGATAACTTCTCCCTTCTAATTGTTATTTACAGTCACCACATATATTCAAGGTGCCTATAGGACAGACAAGAAAAGAAGTCCATGATTCGGACAATGTCAGTGAAAGTACATTTCCTCTGTTTCCTCTCAGTGCAGACGACATGAGTAACCCAGACTTCTCCACTTAATAAGGCTTGTTTTAGCAGAGTGACTCATTCTGTTCCTGTCTGACTTCTGCTGTTGCAGTGACCATCTGAAAGTCAACCTCAACTTTTGTAAAGCCGCCACCATGTGTTTACTGCACATCGATTACACATGGTGTGACTTTGATCTTCAGACCTGTGGGAGCAAGAAAAAAATATTAATCAAAGGAAACATTTTTTGTTGTTTGACTATGGAAAGTACCACAGATGGAGAATAAAATTTCCTGTTTCTATTTTTTATGCCCTCCATGTGTGAAATACACAAACTCACTTGCATCCCAACAGTACTGCAGTAATTTGTCAAAATGTTTTACTCTCAATCTTTCTATCATCTCCAGACTCCCATGAACCAGGCATCCACACGTTCCCACTGTATTTTCACTGTGTACTTGTGCAGACGTGAGCCGGGCTCAGCTACCCTCCGGCGCTCCAAGCTCCACCTGGTAGACCTGGCCGGGTCGGATAGAGTGAGCAAAACTGGCCTGAATGGGCAGCTGCTCACAGAGGCCAAGTATATCAACCTCTCCCTCCACTACTTGGAGCAGGTAACCACTCCTGAAACTTTTTAAAAAATTTGAAATAATACATTGTTTGAAGGATTTAACATGGATGGATTTATTGTAAACAATGAAATATACTTTGGCCTAGAATGTGTTTGAATTTTCGCTTCATGTACTATGAAAGATTTGACACACCAGTTTTATTTTAATGATTTCCACCAGGAGAAAATATGTCCATCGTAATAAATTTTATGTTAGATGTTTGACTCTGATTACTGGCCATTATATTACTCTATTAACAGTAATGATCCTGTTAGAAGGGATAATTCAACTTTCTGTGAGACATTACTGTATGATACAATCAGTTGTTTCATTTGCCACCTCTGTCTCTGTCTTCATTTACATGTCAGCCCTTTTCATTGCTCTTTTCCTCAGGTGATCATTGCTTTGTCAGAGAAAAATCGCTCCCATATTCCCTACAGAAACTCCATGTTGACTTCTGTGCTGAGGGACAGCCTCGGGGGCAACTGCATGACCACCATGATTGCTACTATGGCAGTTGACAAGAGGAACCTTGATGTAAGGACATATTCAGACATAGTATACCTTTAGGTTAAAAGATTTGTAGTGAAATAATTCAACAGGTCCCTTGTTATTGGTAGCCCTGACAGCAGTGAATGAAACCACAATGAAACCAAGCAAAAAGAGCGTTTTCTTAGAATTTTAGGAGACAAAATACTCTCTTGAATATTGTCCAGGAAAAACTCTGCACTGAGATTATGAACATTTTCCCACCTTTCTTGATGTCTTGCATGCATTCACTTGAACAAATGTGTCAAACAAGTACTAAATTGAGAAGGAGTAATTAGGAGTAACTACCTTCAGAGACAAAAACATTGATAGTTTTTTTTTTTAAACTGTTTTCTTCAGGAGTCCATCTCTACATGCCGCTTTGCTCAGCGTGTGGCTCTCATAAAAAACGAGGCAATATTGAATGAAGAGCTGGATCCTGCCCTGGTGAGACAGCATTTCAGCAGTCACTACAAATATCATAACTTAGGCAGAGGAGCATGACTTCATGTACTGTTTCATTGTTTCCAGTCCTTAAATTGATCAGCAAATGAACTGCAGTGAGAATACAGCTTCTATGTGTAACTAAATGTAACCCATCATCAACTCAAGTATCTTTTTTAGGTTTCCTATACAAAATTAGTTTTTTTCAGTGTCAGACAGTCATCCTGAAGGAAGCAGTTTCCCAACCCGTGGACGTCTGTCCATATTGTGTTGTTTAGACTGCTCACAGGTCCTGTTTGCATTCTCTCTTTCTTGTTTGCATGCCTCTAATTCTGTTATGGCATATTTTATTCCAACACCTCACAGCATCCAGCTGCTGTGTGTTTATGTCTTTACACACATTCATGCAAGAAAGCACAAACTGCATGTACATTACTGGTCAAAAGTTTTAGAACACCTTTATTTTTTCCGTTATTAGTCTAATTCAACAGTGACACTTCACGCTTGTGGCATTCTTTCTACAACTGAAATCAAATATTTTTCTGATAGATAGCACTGCTGCGTAAGTTTCCACAAATGTGTTGCACTTGTAGGTTGTCTAGCTTTCGCTCTTCATCTGGAAAGTCTGCACAGTGTTCTGGCCATTCCATCATTTGAAGCCGACCATATCTTTCTTTGCTTCTACACAGCCTGGAGGGATGTGTTTGGGTCATTATCCTGCTATAGGATGAAACCCTAAAAAGGTCTGACTTCCTTTGTTAATTGGCATTTTTTAAATAATGCTTCAGAGGGGACAAAAACTGTTTTTTCCACCTCTGTCTTTGTACATTTGTTGTTGTAAGTAATCAACCAAAGCGGGAACACCTGTGGGATTAGTTTGCATCAATTTTCAAAGCTAAATTTATTTCCACTGCTGCAGAACAGATGGAATTTAACCAATTACTTGATCCCCGAAAAAGGCCTGTTTTACGTCAAATTTACATACCGTTTTATTTTTGGTGACTTTTTTCCCCTCTGGCACTTTACTTTTTAGCTTTGTACCACTTATTTTATATACACTGAACCTGAACTGCTTAAACATAAATAAAAACTGGAAAAATGTTGGTATTTTAAAACTTTTGACCAGTAGTGTATGCAGCCACACAGAGCAATTTGTGGCCAGATGATGTAGATCTGAGGACAAGTGTAACATTTTTAAAATGCGAGTAGGCAGTCTGTTTACTTTCAGTAATTTTATGTAGTATCTATATACTATGATTACATAGCAAGAGCCCAAATTAGGAGATGTAGAGCAAATAAAGTTTGGGTGAAAATAAGTCCTTGGATTGTTACTACATGTGGTTCCTGGAGCCATGCAATCATTTTTATACATGCTTCCATTTCAACCTTTTGTTATACATTATATAATGAGGAGTAGGAAATCATATTGCCTCAGCAGTTTAGCCGAGTTAATGTGTGACAGTGGCTTCCTTTTTTCACCTTTTCCCTTTAGAATCCTTGTCAGACCTTCCCCTATTGTAGTGCGCCAGGAAACAGACCTCGTAGTTGTTGCAGCGGCCTCAAAATCATCACAGCTATATCTGTTAGCTCTCCTCCATCCCTGATGTGCCTCAGGATCAACAGCTACTGTATTACTGCTGCTGAGACTTGGCTGGCCAGTTGCAAACCCTAGAGAGGTATTTTTAAGAGAGTCTGCGGCCCAGTAATTGTGACAGTGTCTGGCTGCTCTCAGTTAGGTCCAGTACAGTTACAGCTCCAGGCAAATCCATACTCCATGGGCAAACATCTTGTTTTTGTTCATGGCTTTTTAGCACATTTCTCATTTTGTTTATTTCTTT